TATATATATATATATATATATATATTTACTTGGTACCATATGTTTGGTCTAATCTACACCAGACATTGTTCTCTTTGAGAGCAAGTTCTCTCTCATATGCAACAATTGGAACCTATACTGCATATAATACATTTTCATTTAATCTAGGATCATATCCGGCAGGTGCCAGGTGAAATTTTCCCATGATTAAAATGGTCAGCTGTGCCAAGATTAAGGACATTTCTGTGTGAGGCCTACATGATAAGAAGTACAGAAGCAAAATTTCCTTTTATTTTCAGGAATTGCTGTTCAGGATGAGGGATTACTCAACAAATATATGCACATATGTATGTGTGTGTGAATATTTATTTATGCATACAGACTCAAAATGATTATATATGCATTCTCACCAGGTCCTCATCAGTTACTGCCAACCTGATTGGATTTCCATTTTTATCAACCACTTTTGTTCCAACTGGAGCATTCTCATCAGCAAAACCTTCAGTGGCTGATGCATTAATCACAGGAGGGTTGCTATCTACAGGTTTTACAGTGATGAACAATTTGGCAGTTGCAGACCTTTTCTGCTCGCTCACTTCTTCAGCCTAAAAAAATATGAAATAAACTTTATATAATGAAGATCAATTCTCAGCTTTCTGTATTTTTCTTTTGTGAATAATACTTAATATACTGCCAGCTTATGTTATCTACAAAGTATCTGAAATCCAACAACAAACATATTGTTACATGTACAAACATTGCTAGGCAAAGGGTTGGTAAACAAGTTCCCATGAAGACAGATTCTTGGTAAACAGTCCATTGCTAGGTCACACAACCANGTCTGCACCATGCCCAGTGCTAAGCAGCAGAAGTGTAAACACATCTACAATAATAGGTGTTTTCTATTGTGTCCATGCTGAAGGTTTATAGGGAACAGTGAAGGTCATTTGCAGTCGGTCATAGCTAAGAAGCCATGAGGCAAGGACGTGTAGCCATCACGGAAAAGAGCCCAGAAGTGTTAAACAGTTAAATGTACAAGAAAGNATTGCTAGGTCACACAACCATATGACAAATGTTTGTAGCTCATTGCTAGGCAACAACCAGCACACCAATGGAACTGGCGAGATAGCTATTAAGTGATCTGGTTTCAATGTGGTCCACACCATGCCTAGTGCTAAGCAGCAGAAATGTAAACACATCTACAATAATAGGTGTTTTCCAAGGTGTCCATGCTGAAGGTTTATAGGGGACAGTGAAGGTCATTTGCAGTCAGTCGTAGCTAAGAAGCCGTGAGGCAAGGACGTGTAGCCATCATGGAAAAGAGCCCAGAAGTGTTAAACAGTTAAACAAGAAAGCAAATGGAGCGTGTCCTTCATGAATTGTGAAGACTAACTGAGTACAGATTAGGGCAGAGGAGTACAGGGTGATTGAAGACGAAATAAGAAGATTTCATAATGATTTGAAGCTTCTGTGTTGAGATCTATTACTAGGAGATGAGTAGTGAAGACAGGGAATCCTAGTGTGTGTGTAATTTTGAACTGTAAATTGTGTAAATCACTGATAGCGCAGTATTAATTCTAATTAAGAGAGTGTAACTGAAGTGCTAACAAATCCCTATATCCAAATTAGAACCTGTTATTATTGTCATGTGCACCCCTTACACATGACAATATTGTGACAGTGTTCTGTCTTTTTCATATTTATTTATTACTGTCCCAGTTTTAATTTATAACTTCTTATTATCACAGCAGGAATGGATCTGAGGTCATTATGCCTTACTTTTCACACAAGATGGTCTGAATTAGTAATATGAAATTATTTATTATTTGAACAGTACTATCTTCCATAATGTGACACTACATATTCTAGCAGAGGTTCCCTGTAGAATATTGGTGGAATGTTCTACCTCCAACTTCAGGATTGAAGAGTAAGCCAAATAAACAAAAGTCACTGAATTTCTACTACAGCACATAACTTCACATCCCAGAAGCTAGTACTCTTCATATTTACCATTGTAAGAACTTCAAATCAAACATATCTAACCTCCCATTAATTGGGACAAATAAAATAAAATATACACATATATCAAATTATGTAGAGTTCTTCGATTTATTTGAAGGTGTCAAATTATATGCATTACACTCCTACCTTCACAATGATTTCAAACTTCTTTGTGATACTTGTATCAACTGCTCTTTTCTGCCTCACAGCTCCTGTCTGTTCATCAATCTCAAAATAATCTTTATAGGAAGATGGTGTGCCGCTTAGAAAGCTGTACTTAATTGGTGCATTGATGGAGTCCATGTCAACTGCTTGAATCTTCTCTGGATAAATGTTGAGAATTCCAGCCAGTTTTCCACTTGATACCTGTAAATATTGGTTTCATGCATTCTGTGTTCTCTTAAATAAAATATTTTCATAATCACAGACCTGATTTCTGAAGAAATTTTTCACAGACATGAGATATAAATGCTGGAAACAGAATAAAATTCTCTGAAAGAGACAAGAAATACATTGTAATAATTTTATAATAAGTGACATCAATGACATGATTTAAATAATTCCAGTTTTAACAGAATTCATAATTCATCATACACCAATAATCAATAACTTTTGGCATTCATTCAGCTAACGTAAATTTTTGCTTGAAATTCCTGAACAGCTGATTAATTACCGACTTCGTTACAAATAGCTGTGTTAGAAAGCTGGTTTTTGTCTTATTTAACCTACACAACTATACCACTCCATTAATCAAAATAGCTAATTTATGAGAGACATACACGATTGTAGAAAAAAACATTAAAATGTTCCTGTCAAGAAACAAACTGTGATATAATGTAAGCATAAACAAATCTGAACACACTGCTTTTTTTACCAACCAGTGCTTCACAGTACTTCATGATGCCCTTTATCTGCTATCACACTCTTACTGAGATCATTTGCTTCCACAGAATTACTATTATCACTAAAACTACAAAAAATTCTAGTGTTTGGTTTCGGATTCTTTGTCACTGTGAAGAGTATGGTCCTCTGGGTTGTAATGCTGGGTAATTTTGAGGGAGCCTGATTTTTCAGAGGAACACATAATTTTGATCTTCGAGGTTGAAGAGTAAGCAAAGCAAGAACACAGGAGAATGAGCACTTGTCACTAGTTAATAAAAGAGCTCCATTTTATTGTTTTGGTTTGTATGTGACTCTGGACAACATATGGAGAGATGAATAGATCATGAATTTGGCAAATAGTGTAGAATGGTACATTTTATGTGGTACATATTTCTATTAAATACCAATTATACATGAGAAGAATATGGATAAGTTTAAATGTTATAAATATGAGATTTATCTACAATTTATTTCACAATATTTTTAATAAATGGGATTATAAAGCATGAAAAGATAGGATGATTCGTGAATAATAAATTGGAACAAAGTGATCATGGCCCAGTTTAGGGTACTATCCTGTAATTAGCTTCTCAGGAAAACTGCAAAATATCTTAGCAAAAACAGATGACCCCTGAACCAAGATTTCAACCTTGCATGTCACAAGTAAGAAGCAGGAATGCTAGCAATATATTAACAAGTATTACTGAATAATTTAATTCAGTATATCCTGACATTCTAAAAGCAGTTAACCTCAGATCTCGCTTACTTAATTTAAATTGCCTGAAATCCAGTGATTACCAGTAATAGATATCAAGTATTACATGTCACAGTACAACTTATAGTGTTCAAATTTAAATTGAAAAATGTTACAGAAACTATGTAATTTATAACATAAACGAAACTTGAGGTCAATAATGATTGAATATTTTATTCATGTGTATAGCCTCCATCTTCAGGGCAGAAAAATCAGTGAGCGAGAAACCAGCATGAGCATGTGGCTAGCAGACTGAGGCACCAGTTGAAAACACCCAACTTTATAAGAACAGATGGAAGGAGGGATAGTGGGCCACATAGGAAATCACGCCACGTTCAAAAAGATGGCATTCTTCATAGCCACTGCTGTGGAAACCTCAAATCCTACAAGTTTTCCAAGGATGCGTTGCAAGGAAGATGCTAAATCAATGACATTTTTAATGTAATATTTACTGTCCGTATATATGTTTATTATTTCTATATTCACCAATAATCACACTTACTGCAAAGTTTGTATCAGTATTAAATGGAATTATTATTCTGAATCATGAATTGGAAAGGATATGGAAGGAAGTAGCTGAAGCCTCTTTTAATGCACTATTCTAACTTTAATCTAGAGCAACACAAGAAGACCATGAAATCTTAGCTAGAATGTATTGTTTCTGGGTTGAAAATTGAATTATGGGCTTTCTAAGTTTGAATCTAAATTGCTTAACACTGCATCTGGATAGTTAAGTGTGTGTGTGTGTGTGTGTGTGTGCTCATGCGCATGCATATATGTACAAAAGCTCTTATATTCCAGAGCAGGATATATTCATCGGTATAATTATTCTTCTAGTGATTTTGTGGCATAATATGTGAATATTGCATGAACAGTCATAATTTTTACACTGTTATTATTTTGTAATTACACCATGAATATGACAGGCCACTAAACGTTTGTTTCAAGCAGCAGACCACAAGGCCAACATGACAACTCCTATCTCTTATGTTTCATCACAAGTTAGGCAGTCCTTACTAAGCTAAAGTGTTCTACTTCTGGTAAAAATAACAGGTTCATGTGTGCATTTTTCTGTAATTATGAGGATAAAAATTGCTTCTCAAGGCTATTGACAGCTAGGAAACTTGAATAACAGAAATCTTAGTCTTTTGGTTTCTGGAAGAAAATATTCCAGCACTCAGATATGACAAGTATGGTGAGTGCAATGCTTTTAAAAATTGTTTACTAACAAACATTTTAAACTATAGGAGTAAACATAAATAAATAAATAAATAAATAAATAAAGAAAGAAAGAAATGAACAAAAAACACCTTAAAAGATATTACTATGGTTGAATCCTGACTGCATAGTTTCTTAATTCAAAGTACTTTTCAATATATTCAAAATCATGGCACTAAGATGATTGTTAGGAATTCAAATTGGGAGAAAGGGAGGCATATAGAACAAGCTCAATGGTAGTTTTTTTTTGTAGATGTCCTGTCCTATAGCTACTATGTCTGTTCAATCAGAGTAACTCTTCTTCCTAATACCTAAAGTTAAATTTCTGACTAAGAAATATATTGCATTAAATATTTCCTGATGAAAATGTTCTACACTGCTGTGTAGAATTTGGTGTAGAACTATAAACTTGATAGATGTTGTAGAGAGGAACTGTATGTGAAATGAGCCAATTTTGTGGGATAGAAAAATGTAAATATTTCACCATACAGTTTGTAAACCATTATGTCTTTTCTGTGTTCTGGAAGCAAAATAAGATAGTTTCTATACCTTCTTTGTATGAAATGCATAAAATAAACTTATAATGGGGTGGGGGGTTGTGTCTCTACATTTCATTGCAAAAACACCTAAACAGAGTCTGGTAAAATTTCAAATGGAGTGCCTAATAAAATACAATCAGATGAATATAAGTTTGATGACATGGAAAAATAAACATGACTAGTAAGTAGAGAGGGGGAGGGAGAGATGGGATAGGAAGAAGGAAGTAAGTGGTTGCTGCTTATTTTTGGGCTCTACTTTGGCATTAAATTGTAGGGGCTAAAAAGATGGCTAAAAACCAGCAGCTCTTATATACATCAATATATTATCTGAAATTAGAGATGATGGCTAGCACTGTCCTTGTACTTACTGATGTTGAATATTCTGGGTTGATGCAAGAGCCTTCATGTAGCATGCAGCCTTGGTAAATGAAGGATGGGTTCTGATCGTCATCATCACGGACATTCACTGTTAGTGTGGTAGTTGTTGAGAATCGTTCTGATACATTCCTGGCCCGATCCTGGCAACGAAAATTAAGAACATGCATTGCAAACATTGCAAAAATTAAGGGAAATAAATAAATATAACAGTCACCTGTCTAACTCATCATTTGCTGCAACTATGTGAATATGTTGAAACATCAACAGGGATTTGTTGCTGCTATCAATATCATTATTGTCTTTGGCGCTTAAAATCTGTTGAGAAAACAGTTTCTCCGCATGTGCACCATTCTCTTACCTGTGATAAACTTGTTACGAATATCTAAGCCCAATAACTTTAAACGTTTTGGAAGGACAGCTGCATCTACACTGAGATAATGAACTTGATAGAAAAATAACACGTTCAAAGCTGCAATAAACGGATTTAGTAAAAATGTTTTCAGCAGTAGTGCCAACTGCAATTGTGATTTAGACATATTGTGACATGACACTTGGAAGCCGGAATAGTGGAGCCATGAGAAAAGGCTGTTGCTAGGTAACGGCCAATAAACACGCTCCCATGTCATCAAATTAGATGACTGTTAGCTAAGGAATCTGATAATTAGGTCATTAGTCCCGTAGGATTTGGAACCAAGAATTACTGTGCTGGCGAGGGCCAGCAGCAATTTAGCTGTCAGTCAGAATAGCAAGAACTACCAGTTAAAGATCATTCAATGGTTACTCATATCGACTGATTAACGATTCCCTAAGTAACAACTTTCGCAAAATCATAAAACTTAACAACTATTTTACATTACGTAATTGCACAACTTCAGTTATTTCCTCTAATCCATAAAATTGTTTTATCCTAAAAAATATTATTTTTTGTAATTATCAAAATACATTCTACATTGCTGTGTGCTGATTTTGTATTTGTTTAATTATGGAAGTTATACTTTAAAAACAAAAGACATGCAAAATAAACGCAATCACTTAGAGCAATTATAAAAATTATCAAGCTTTGTGGCAAGGGAAAAGAAGGGAAGCAAAATAAATATTATTTTTTGTAATACAACACGTAATTGCTGTGAATCTATTTTTCTCTGTCTTGTCTTTCAGTTTTTCACTTATGTTTGTTTCTTTCAGCAACTCTAGATACCATTTCTTTTCCCTCATCAATGCCGTACAAGTCAAGGGAATGGAAATGCAGTACTCTATTTTGTCTCAGAAGTGTGATATAATTCTAAGGAGTAAATAACCTTCAAATTCCCTCATGTACGGCTATATTTATTTTGAAAACAAACGTTTTATTTACAAGCGTATATCACGTTTTCCCCAACTCAAGGTCTGGTAGTGTGGGTTGCAAAATCGTTCTTGAAGTGGTAATAAGAAAACAAGGAACATAAGTCTGCTACAATGTTTTTCCTACGTGTTACCATTAGGATTATTTCAACATTAAATATTTTATTTTAGTCGGTCGGGGTAGCCAAGGGATCTAAGTCGTGTACTGTCTTCGTTCACTCGGAAGCCATGATCTTGGGTTCGAATCCCACATAAGGCATGGATATTCGGTGTGTTTATGCGTTTCTGTTTTTTTTAATTCGCTTAGTGGGGGAGAGGTGGAGTCCAGCTGAGTCCACTCGGGACGGCGGCCACAGATTGGCCTGTTGTACCTGCCCCGGGTGTTCATGATGATGGAGTATTTGGTGGAATGAAGATTGGCAGGGGAAACCGAAGTATTTGGAGAAAACCCGCCATAGCGCCACTTTGTCCACCACAAATCCCACTTGACCAGACCCGGGATCGAACCGGGGCCTCCGCCCTTATTCTGTGTTTGTGTTGTCCTATGTTTAGGTAGAGGCTTTATGACGAACTGATCATCCGTCCAAGGAGTCCTACCGTCTGTAAAATGATCATGAAACTGAGAAATCAGCCTATGCTCCAAAGTGGTAGCGAGAGGAGAAGAAATATTTTATTTTGTCACTGGTTTAAAAATTATCGCAAGTTGACAGTAGCTGAGGTTATAATTTGCAAATGTGTGGCTCTAGAAATTAAAGGGTATTTGGAACTGGACGGTCAATTATTGCAATTTATAATTTACAAATGTGTAGCTCTAGAAATTAAAGGGTATTTGGAACTAGACGGTCAATTATTGCAATTAATATATAGGAAACAAGACTACAGTGCAGTGTCGTACAGTTTGATTAGCTCTACCACTACAGATTTGACGATACAAATGTCGTGTAGTTTGATTTAACGACACAAATGCGGTGCACTTGATATAGCTCCGACGCTACAGATTTGATGATACAAATGCTGAGTCATTTAGCTCTAACGCTATGTACTGTACGAACGCTGAGCAGTTGGATTCAGCTCCAACTCGATGGATTTGACGATACAGATGGTGAGTAGTCGGATTTAGCTATAACGCTATGGATTTAAAGACATATATGTCGAGCAGTTTCATTCAGTTTTAGCTCCCAAGATCTGGAAGTACCTTATTCAATCCTTATCCTGAATGAGGCCATTCGTTATTTGTCTCATTCACTGAAGTCGAAAAGAGGGACAGTATCTTAAAACATATTTATAGTCATTAACTTCTCATTACACGCTACACAGCTCCTGCAGTTGAAAAAGAGCCATTATATTCTTAAAATCACCCAAGATATATTCGTATGGCTTCCATAATGGAGATGTTTGTTCAATATACAGATCCATTTTTTTTTCTTTTTAAGCAGTTCATCATACTTTATACTTATCATCATCAGTAATCTGTCAAGACGACAGGTCCACAGTCTCTTTCAAAACAATTCCTCCACTTAATGCGATCTAGAGCTTTCTCCTTCAAATGACAGTATCCTCTTCTGTCCCCAAGGTCATCCAGCATCTTCTTACGTCTTCTTCCTCGTCTTCTTGTCACTTCTATCCGCCCATCTATCTTTCCTTCGATAGCTTCTTTTAGAAGGCAGTTTCTGCGTAAAACATGACCAATCCAATTAGCCTTCCGTTTTCTTATTTCATGTAGGATATTCCTCTGCTCACTGACTCTAATTAACACTTCTTCATTTCTCACATAATCGGTCCAACTGATCTTCTCCATTCTTCTCCAACACCACATTTCGAAACTTTCCAGATGTTTCTGATCTACTGCCCTAAGTGTCCATGTTTCAGCCCCATACAGAGCTATGCTCCAAATGTAGCATTTCACTAGTTTCTTCCTCAAATTTAAGTCCAATTTGCTGGTAAAAAGATTCTTCTTCTTGCTAAATGCAGCTTTTGCCATGGCAATCCTGGATTTAATTTCACAAGTACACCTTCCATCATCTGTTAACAAGCTACCCAAATATTTAAAACATTTCACATTCTCCACTTGTTTTTGGTCTATCTTTATTGTGACTGGGGTTGGTTGTCTCGAAATTTTCATTACTTTTGTTTTCTCCACATTCATTTCCATGCCATAGCACCTTCCAATTTCAATTAGTCTATCAATCATGCCCTGTAGCACAGTTTCTTCCTTAGCCATTAACACAAGGTCATCTGCATATTTCACAGATTGAATAATTTGCCCTCCTACTTTGAAGTCACCGAGCCCATCCAGAGCTTCCTTGGTAAGGCATTCGCTGTACAAGTTGAACAGAATTGGTGATAAACAGCATCCTTGTCGAACTCCTCTTCCAATCTGCACACTTCCTGTCTCCCCCCTGTCCAGTCGTACTCTAACTTTCTGATCCATGTACAATTTGCTAATCAATCTTCTTTCATGCCAATCGATACCTGTTTCTTTCAGGATCTGCATTAATTTGGTCCAGTTTACCCGGTCAAATGCCTTCTGCCAGTCTATGAAGCAAACACACAGTTCTTCATCTATCTCCAAAGTTCGTTCCGCTATAATTCTCATCATCCCAATTGCATCCCTGGTTCCTTTTCCTCTTCTAAATCCAAACTGATCTTCTCCAAGTACATCCTCTATTTTCATTTCAATTCTTCTTTTAAGTATCTTTGCTATTATCTTTGCTGTATGTGCAATAAGACTTTAGGAGTGGGCCTACTGAAACTTCCGTAATGATGAATACAAATTTATAATGCGTATGATTAAGACTATGTTCCCAAAGACAGGACTTCTGACCGCCCCTCCCCAAAGGGGAATAGCCAGAAAATTTACTTACATATTTAAATTCATTTCGTTTAAATATACTTCTACATATCGCCGTAGAGCTGTGGCTCTATATATGGAAATAGAGATGTCACTATATGTTAAAATAATTTCAAATTGGTTTTAATATCTGGTATATTTCTCATTCTTTTGCTTTTTTTCATTTATTTTTTTTTCCCAAAAATCCAATTAGTGAGGTACACATTATTTGTTCTGGAAAGAACTGTGATTCATTTTCGTTTAAAAGATTCAACATACATAGTGTGAGGCTAGTAAAAATTATTCATATAATATATATATATAATTAGGTGTTCACAGGATGCATAATGAATGGCACAAACATGATGTAAAAACATATTGAGGATTTCTGTGAATACTTCATAAAATACGTTTCTTCCCGCAACGAATATGCTACACCACAGAATATAAAAAAATTAGTGAGACAAATTTACGGAGTTAAGTCCCTCTTAAGATGTTATTAGTCGCTAGGTTAATCAAGAAATTTGCTGGTTTTATAGAACCTGAAGTTTCTTTTTCAAGTCAAAAGGATTCTCTTTCCTGTCCACGTTTGTTGAAAAGTAAAAGAAAACAAAAGAAAACAGGAAGGAAGGAAGAATATGGAAATAGTTTTGTCATACCGTCCAAAACACAGAATCGCATAAATGTTCTTCACTACCTCGCCTCAGGACAACTTGCTTGTCAGAACAATATTTTCGGCTCTTTTCGTTATAATGCGGTAGGTGAAACACGCTTTTTATCACCTCTTTTCACTAACCAGCTAGACGTCTCCCACTGGTTAGCATTTCGCTTTTTTGTTCATCCAATCACGGCTTCACTCCAATACATTGCCTAATGCGAGATTTATATAAGCGCTAATAGATTCTTCCCGAAGTCATCCACTCTGAGGGTGGCATGTGCAAAGCTTTCAGAAATGTTGGAAAACCCTCA